TTAGGGAGGATGAATATGTGAGAAACCACCAAGGACCGACTACTTTTTTCCGTTAGGCTAAATTGGGGAGAACTATGTCCCACACTTCATCAAGCCTTTTTTTAATAAGTCAAGCGTGCACGCCGAGACAACCTCATTTGTTAGTCTAATCTATGTGCTGACCGCTCTATGAAAGAAGAATTTTGCTCTTTCTCTCTTTACTGCACAAGTTTTGACCGGTTTTAGCTGGTGTCCTATGAGAGCTGATTCTTTACCGAAGGAGATTAGTTACCTGCTTGACTGCGAGAGCCCCTCTAGTATCTTGAAGAACTCTGTGAGGTCCCCTCTTACTCTTTTGTGTGACAGAGAGGATAAGTTAAGTTCTCTTAGGCGCCTCAAATTCGATAGCGCCCTAATTGCAGAGAAAACCCTGGTAAAACGTCTCTGAACGTCTTCCAGAGCCTTTCTGTCGAGCACAAGGTTTGGCGCTCAATAGCGGAGAGATATATAAACCTGGTTTATCCTGGCGCTGCGGTAACCGGGGTTTTATTGAGCGCAATCGTGCGGAGAGTCGCGGAGCAGGCCAGAGATAATGGGGGTACTCATGTCCAGTCTTGCTTGGACCTTGAATTTGAACACAGAAGACGCTGAGTCACACATGAATGAATGGATGAGCACTAAGGCAACTTGGACAATAAAATGAAGATATACAGAAATCAAGGAAGTTAGAAATTTCCAAAATACTTCTCTCTGTCTCCTTTTATATTTTTAATTCATTCTGACATTCACTTGTTCCGACATTTATTTATTTTCTACCAACAAGAACTAATCTTTTCCTAAATTGGACTCATTCTTAAAATAGGGTATTTCAAACCTCATCAAGAACCGTTTTACAATTCACTCCAAGCATAATTTTAAATTTATTCAAAGCACCGGTGTAGGATTAAAAGTACAGAACACGATATGAAAGAAATTGGTGTGTGTATATATACGTTAATATATAATTTATTTCTAGATTTCATGATATTATGAGAACAAATCGTCTTCAAATTTGATGTATTAGGGACGTTTGGTAAGATTTATACTTTATTATAGTCCTTGTGACTGTTTTATGATAGCATGGTTTTTATTATACTGGCTCAGGTGTAAGGTAATACCTTCGATTTTTTTTAACTGGAGTGGCTGTTGGCAAGAATCAGTTTGCTAGTAAGTTGCTTGTCTTTAATGAGGCGTTAAATAGATTGTTATCCGATTCCTCCAGATTTCGCTCCAGAGGAGAAGCCGAGTGGATTCCTTCATAGTCTGCAACCTTCCAGTTATCAAGTTACTGATGTTTGGATGGATCTTCTCAGTGGCTATATGGTAGTGAATAATTGGCCGAACCAAAGGCTCTCGTAAATGTAGCTCCCTCAATCTTCTCTCTATTGAAAGAAATAATAGTACATCTCTTTTTCCGCCGGCTGAGAGTTCACTTTTATTTCATTCATTTATTAATCCCAACATTTCTCTCGGAAGTCCAGTTTTAATGATTATAGCTGAAATTGTTTTTTTAGATTCCTGTGTGTATTGCGTGCTATTTTTTCACTATAGGCTTTAATTCAAGTTGCTATACAATATTCCACGCGTTATTACAACAGGTATTCATAATTGTTTTACTCATAGTGTCTAGACGAGGCTCTTCACTTTGAAGTGCGCCTCCGCGAGTGGTCGGTAAGTAATAACTCCTTACATTTTCGGTCTTCTTGTGGATGCTACCTAATTACCAAACCGAAGTGTATTCTCTTCGACGTAACTCCACTGTTCAAATACTGGTTCGAAATATCTTTAAAGTGAAACAAATCAACCTTCAGTCATATTTTGGAGGTTCCTTTGAATTTTGACAATGCTACGGATCTTAATATTTGTCATGCATGATTAACTTACCTATTTATTTACCACCAGCTTGAAGACAAGCGTGGTGCCAACGCAACAACAATAATAACAATAAAAATAAAAGGGGACAGGTGGATTGGGATAGAGAACAGAGTTAAAAGGGGGTAAAACAGTTAAACACGGGAAATGAAAGGTAATTGGGATAACGAAATTGTTTTGTGTTTCACGCTACACCTTTTCATATCTTTTTGGCGTTGTTTGTTGTTTTTTACGGGGCACTGGATTTCGACAGGCAGACCGTACAGCATTCACGTCACTGACTTCTATTCTAGACCATATCTCTCAGCGTCTCTAACCAACGAGAATCTTCATCCCTTGGGCCCCCGCCCCCCCCCCCCTGGAAGGCGGGGGGGGACTGAAGCTAAAGCTGAAGCTGAAGCCAGCTTCTTCATGCCTCTAGCCCATGTCATGGTCTGACCGCCGCGCCGCTTCTTCCCTCGTTGCCCGGCTTGGGAGAACAGAGCTGTATGCTACCCAGCGCGTCCCCAGGTAGTGGATAGGGGAACGGCTGTCAACTCGCGGCTAGCAATGAATAAAGTTGGCTTCGGTCCTCCCAATAAGAGGTCGTGGACGATAAGCGGCAACGCTCGAGGATGTGGTGGATTGAACCCCTGGTAAGGGTTCTCCGCAGAAAACACCATAAATATCTATAAACAGCGCTGTGATGTGGCGAGTGTAATCCGCCACTAAATATGGCCATAGCCCATTGTTGAGTTCCTTTGCCAGACAAGGTTTTCCAGAGAACGCGAAAGACCCAAAAACCAGCCACCAGCTCATCTGGAACATCACTGCTGCCTTACAGTCCGCGCTCGGTTGCGCAAAGGCTGGAGTGCATCCTCGAACAGGGCCTATTCTGCGCTGGGCGACCGAGTAGTACAATAGTCCACAACGCGGACAACTATAAACGTTCTCGCTTTTATGATTTCGCACTCTAAACCTTCAACAATTAATTAACTTACCTAAACAATTAAGGATTAAACGTTACTCACTATTCAAAATGGACTAAAAAGCTAAGCTTTTTATCTGCTTTTCCAGTGGGTCGCAAAGACCTTTCAATCAGTAAACGTTTATTGGGGATCAATTTCTTTATTTTGATCCGAGTTTCAGGCTGCTTTTTCAAGCACAGCAAACTTATGCTCCAGTTCAAATTGATCACAGTAGTAAGCTATTATTAGCGTGGTTTGGTGATAAATTACAGGTCTCATATAACCAAAGAGGATGAGTCTGACCGCTAACTAGTCTTTATGTACCATACTTATTGTTCTCTGTCAAAAACTTTAATATCATTTAGTTCACCATAGTCTTTCTTACCAAAATATCTTCTGCCGTTGTAAATAAGGGCGAGTTTAGGATCTAAATTTGCCATTCATAGAAAAATAATCGTACATCGACATCCAGGAATTATGTTTTATCCTCAAATATTAGACTATACAAACCAAGTCAAACACTTATTGTCCAAAAATTATCCATCTCTGGTCAAAAGAGGAGAAGGAGTTAGCAGTAGAAACTTTTCGAAATGGAAAATGAAAGTTTTATTTATAATAGCACATGGAATGATCAGAATCTATTGCAAATATATTGCCTCAAGTTGGTGCTAGAAAAAAGTTGATTTATCATTGACATTTGGTGAAAACGTTATATACAATGATAACCGGTTTTCAAACATGTATACTCCTCAAGCACTAAGTTTGGCAGGACCTGTTTCATCTACAATAGAGGAACCTGATACTAACACGCCAATATGCCCGAGTGTTCATTTTGTCTAATAACCTATGGCTACAAACCCTACCGCTGCTAGATCTAATTTAATTTCCAACGCTAACTGGAATTATTGTCCTCAAAAGAAAAAATTGTAACAGCTCAGTTTGAGAGGAAATTTGTCTACATACATACATACATACATACATACATACATACATACATACATACATACATACATACATACATACATACATACATACATACATACATACATACATACATACATACATACATACATACAACATACATACATACATACATACATACATACATACATACATACATACATACATACATACATACATACATACATACATACATACATACATACATACATACATACATACATACATACATACACCTCAACAAACCTTTATCACATGGGCAAGTGATATAAATTAATATATAACTTAATAAATATTAAATTTGGCGAGCTATCCTAATGTATTCGCAACAATACTATGCTTCTAAAACTATAAAAACAGGATGTAATTTCACCTGCATAGAAAGATGATTGCTTTATTGGCCTGCTCAGTCTCTTTTCCATGCCGTTCAAAATAACGGACTCCATTGCTACTTACTTTAAGCTGAGTCATTTATAAAAAGCAACTTATCATCATCATTCCAACAAGGATTTCAACAAAAGCCTAATCTGTTTCCGTCCTTAGAGGAATAGGCAAGCAGCTGGCTTAGAGGAACCAGTATACTTAGTGTACCTGGACTTCCTCACAGCATGTAATCTTATAAATCAATAAAATATGCGGAAACTATTATATTACCGAAAGAAATTCAGTGATTTTATAAATTTAAGGCTATCCACGGGTGTTCTTTAGGAGCACGTTTTGCGGTTTTAACTTGGCTTATAAGCTCTTCAGAAAGCTGAAAGTCTTTTCTGAGAATGGAAATTTAGAGTTTTTGACAAGAAGATGAATTCCTAAGGAGGAAATTGCTAAACAGTGGTTTTCCAGAATTTTTCATAAATATCCGCAATGGGCAACTTTGTATGGATTAGCCCCTCTAGAACGATGACGGTCTGCATCCAATCAGCTTCAACACAACTCACGTTTCAAATGGTATGCATCAAGTTTGAAATTAGCTCTAAACCGCATGGTCTCGCATGCTCAACTGATAACATCACCTATTTTGTATGAAGCGATCTCCTGTTTCTTTTAAAAGGTGAAAAATAACTTCCGAAAAATATGTGATACGGACAATACAATACAGTCTATGATTTAGTTGTTTATTTCAGAAGTCGCTTTCTTGTATTCTGTCCAGGTGCTACAAGCAATTTACATTTCACTATGAATCATTTCAGCGGTTCTGCGCCTATGAGTCCAGTATGTATAACATTGACCATTTGGATTTTGCTGTTCAATTATTCCCGGGCTACTGTGGTGGACGCGGACATTTACGGTGTGCAGCATTGGATTTTATCCGGCTCACCTTATGTGATCTCCCGTAGACCAATCAACGTGCAAAGGGACGCTGCACTAATCATTGATCCGGGTGTTCACGTCTACGTTGGCTCCGGTTTAGGTATAAAAATTCATGGGAAACTGATAGCTCGTGGCACATACGGTAAGTTCTAAATGCTTTTATCATAATTAACAGTTGATCCTGAGGCAGCTCGACAAGCCCACAACTGTTATCGTGGGTGACTCAAGTTATTATGCTGGAAGTTGAGACAAACAGCTTCCACTGACCAGTTCATAAATTAGAGTAGAAGGCAAAAGTAGTCAAGTGGTTCAAGCAAACTTTTTATTGGATTCGGAAGAGCTTTACATCTATTTCGTTTAGTACTTCATGGAACTAGTAAGTTCACCTTCACACACACACTGATATATCAGTGTAAAGCGCCGCAATTAGACATCATAAACGTTAAGTTTTGAGGTCTAGAACTCAGTTAGGCAAAACATTCAGCTTAGTTCTTCGAATTCCGAGAATCCCAAAGAAATCATTATATGATCTCATTCGAGGAGGTTTTGCCATCAGTAGTAGCTTTAAAAATGAGTTCGTTCTGAGGTAAACCACGTGGAGTTACATCAAAAATAGAGGATTGATAAGACTCTACATACTTCAATCGGCTGTTCGTATGGTACTTATTGGATCAGCGAAAAGATGAAAAGGAGACAGAATTTCTACAAATGTGATACATCTGAACAATTCGTGAAATAGTATTTTATCGCTTTACTTTATCTCTGTGAGCACTTGACGATCACAAAACGCAATGGTCAGAAGAGTAGAGATAAAATCTTCAAATCTTTTTTACAATGAGAACCGGCGACCAATCGCCACTTGTTTTCAGTGCATATGATAAGGGACATTTTGGTGCATGGAAGTGATTTGTACATTTTGTCTATCAGGAGCTGCGCCATCCAAGGCTCACGTGTTCAAATGTCGTGCCAGTCCACACTCAAAAAGAAATAAAGAACGCAAGCTTCGGAAAGAACAGAATTTGTTAACTTTAGACCATAGCTACTGGTCCGTTGACAGACTACCCAAAGAGCATCGGTAACCAGCCATCTCAAAATGCCATGTCCGAAATGGTTTATTTTCTAGGTTCATCCAGGAGCTGACTCATATGTAGTATAAATTCATTACGACCTTTAAGTGTTCCTATATTAACTTGAGAGTAATGGAGGAGTTGCTTCAATTGCAAAGGGGAAATCCGTCGTGTAAATAGCAAAAGAAGAGTGAACTGAAAAGCTAGGAAGCATTGTACTGCTGTTTCGACCTGGTTGGGTCTATGTTAACTTCTTTTTCTTTATTGCTTTTATCATCGGAAAAAATACCGGCTGACAGTGTATTGTATGATACAAGAGGGGGTACAATACCTTCGTTACGGGGTGCATTATATTCCAAAACAGGAATTAACGAAATCAAGGATGTGGCCTTAGAACTATTTCGTATTCCTCGAGATTTTTAAGTGCAATACTGCGGGATCCATTGAAGTTGATCCAATTTCTTTTGCGGATCTATTGAATAGGTGTACTTCGTGACAAATTCTCTAGGGGTCAGCGTTCCATTTTATTGATGGTGATAATATATGATGATAATTATAGACGGGAAAACAGATATCCTTAAAGACGTTTGATGCACAATTAAAGTTGCTCATCTTCTCGACTTTCTCATTGCCCGGTTAAAACGCAAAATTTGAATTGTAAAAACTATTTTTAACCAATCAGTTTAGAAAAGGATTACTTTTCTTCGAAGTACCTCGAACACAAAAACATTATTAACTTCATATTGTCGATCTGTGGCAGACTAATAATGTACACATTATTAATCTACCAGTCCCGTCGGAACGCTTTCATCGAGATTAGAATTCGTCACATATTGCAAACAAAATAGTGGATTTAGTAGATACAGCATACTGATTGTTTTCCCAAATAAAAATGGAAGAAAAGAAATCGATTACCATCTCCAAACTGCCGTGAGATTCCTATAAGATCAAGTGAGCTTAAAAATATCCACTGGTCAATCTTCGGTCATTTATTGATCATCTACCTCGGATTCTGTCAGGTTACGTGATTAGGTTGGCTTCTCTTACGGTGTAATCTCGAGATGTTCGTACCATAATTCAATGCACAGGCGTTTTTTCTTAGGACTGTAAATCATAGGTATACTCTGGAAGATAAAGGGATATTTCAATCTACGAAAAGCAAGACAGGGTAATAATAAAGGCAAAATGCTCTGCTGAGATGCACAAGTTCTATGAAAGATGAAAGTAGAAGGAAACAAGAAAGGAATTGAAGATCAAGGGAAGAGACTCGGAGTTAGTTGAGTTCACGTTATCACACCAGAGATGTTAAGACAAATTTGAGAAAGGTTAAAACCCACTAAATATGAAGTTTGCTTTCAAATATGGGGTAACATTATGTCGTCATCAAAAATTGTTAACTTTTGTTTTCTATCATTACGGTTGATCGAGCACGACGCACAAGACTTTTTCGATGACATCCATTCCGAATCTGGATCTGGATCTGAAACCATGATCATGGAGTTCTACACATATAGGAGTTTTTCTTTGGACTAAATGTCTAATGAAGGAATGAGGATGTCCGTGGTGTTTTGTTTTTTTTGTATAAAGCAATTCGTGACTTGACTTAAATCGATGCCTTTTTATTATAATGTCCTCATTCTGTTCAAACAGGTTCTACTTGGCATGATAATTAATCCTCGGTATGAAGTAACAACAGTTGCATCTCGTGGCTCTACAGAGGTCATATTTGTTGGTGATGCAATGTTTGCAAACGAGTTTCCAAGCTCAGTGGAAATGAATTTGTCCTCAATGCGTCAATGGTCACATTGTTGGGCCCTGTTTCTTTTCTCTCCTGTATCGAAGGAATCCAATTTCACGAAGGAAGAGAATAACCGTGGGAACCACAGTTACATGTTCTCTTTCAGTTTAGCGTTTGTCAGGCGCATAGGACACCGAACTTGGGAAAATTAAGATTCGAGGTCAGGAAGTTTGGTGGCACTGGGTCACCTAACGCAAATCGTCTTCTGATCTGAGGAAGTTTAATGTTCGAACTTTGTGCAAACAAAAGGATGACTGGTTGCCCACTGAGATCATGCAATTCCTCAGCTTTCACCATGACATCATTAGGAGACTGCTACTGTCGTTGAGGAGGCGGCGCTCATTTTCTGGCCTACTCCCGGATTGTTATCGAGTCAGGAAGTCTATCAGTATCCTTGGGCGTTTCCAGAATTTTCATATGCACGCTGCAATTTAGTGGCCCTAGCAGTTCATTAATTTGTGTTAAGAAGATGAGCAGATCTAGCCCTAGTCGCGAAATGTGATACTACGAACGGCGGTCAAGCTGAATGTTTACACTTTTTCACTAGTATTTGAAATTTACTACCCCTCAAGAAAATCCCTATTTATAAGAACAAAGTGGAAACGAGTAGAAAAAAAATAATTTTAGCATAACCCTTCAAGATTCTTCCGGTTCTGACAATAATTATTCGAATCGAAAAACTTTGCGAACATCCAAATAGAAATACTCCAGTTTTGGTCGCCAATNAGCAGAGAGTGGTGCTTAGGCACGATCAACTCAGTTTGATTAACCCATATTGATCTCCACTTAATCGAAAGAACATTGCAAAGATCAGAATTTCAGCTATCTAAAAGACGAACACTAGGTGTGGTAAATATGGTTTTCTCAAAAACAGATTACTTATATATATATATATCTGTTATTTCCCAAAATTGTTCACTGACGTGGAATATTGACATTTGAGTCAGTTTTGAACCGCTACTGCAATCATTGTCGGCATCATTATCATCAAAAGCATCCTCGTCAAAGTTTTAAGTTTATTTCTTCTTGGTTCCAGGTCGAAGAATAGTGTTTCAACGCATACCACCAAGGGTGAATTCGCCGAACTCCGTTCAGAACAACTTCCGCATACCGCGTAAACTTCGATTGGTCGAAGGAGCATCGGTGCGACAGGGCTTGCTTCAGATATTTACTGCAAATCGATGGCGTTACGTGTGCAGCCGCAATACAGAGTGAGTTACGTATGCCGGGACGTATTTTCTGAAATATTTGGGAGTATACAATTGAGACCTAATTCATCTGTCATCTTTCGTTAATTTTAAAAACAAAGTTGGTCGTTCAATTTACTGATAAACTCTTGATATCTCGTTTACAATATCTCCAAATAATTCTTACCGACCCTCCATATGTGCTGCGAAGTGGTCTTTCTTCTTCTATCCTAACTGGTCCACTAGTGCCAGCCACACACAGATGTTACCGTCAATATGAGCGCCATTTTGTTAAAACAATTGCACGGGGGGGGGACGGTGATGGACTATCATAGTTCCTGACAGAAGGAATTCGGTACGAACAGAACATAATAACACTGAAATGAGAATTATCAGGGAAAAACAGCGTTTCTTAATTGCCCATGATTGGAACTGATTAAGTTTCGAAGAAAATCCCAAATTTGGTAAGTGACATTCGAATCCCAGAATCACCAAATTGATCAAGTAGATTTTGGTCTCGTTTGCACCATGACGCGAACTAACATTCACCAATTCTGTGAGCCAGTTTTTCCCAACCTCCCGTGTCAGTGAATACTCAATAACTGAAACAAAAGATTTAGTGATGTGTAGTTATTTTCTTTCAATACATCGTATTACGTGTATTGTTATGTTTTGGCAGTCAAAGACATCTACTTTAGCTTTAGCCTTGACAACTGTGACGAGTAGCTTCGTAAACAGACATACGCGTTTCAAATGTGGTGGGTGTGAACAAAAAGGAGCAGAGCGTGTGGACAGTTTACGTAAGGAAAATTTGTGCTTGGGTTATCGAAAGAAACAGAAAGGTGAAGAACAAATATTTCTATTGGGTTAAATAGGTTAATGGTTCCCATGACCGTGGTAACACCAAAGTCTGCTCCAGGTCACATTGTGTACTCATTTCGGTTTCCATGATCTGGATTGCTTTCGTATCGACTGTAATAAGCAACCTCTTGCTTTATTCTTTATTTCACTTCATGGGCATTCGTAAGATAATCTTAGACGAAATCTCCGAATCAATCCTGTTTCGGCTATTGACCGAATGTTGCAAGATTGAGCTACTAATAACCATAACAGCACTCCAAACAATGTTACGGTATTCACCTGGACATGCTTCTCATCGTGTCTGATATAGAGAGCACCGTAGGTGCAAGTAAACTTATGGTGAACAAAAGATTGGGGCTAACAACTGAACCTGTCCCGGGTTTGTTGAACAATGCACGCTGTTCACTGTGACACTCGCTCTCATTCATCGTTAGCTAAAATAAAAATACTGGCCCCTTCGATGACCGCACTATATATGTAAATGCCCGTCGCATGGTATCTGAGAGAAATTTCCACACCTCACTAGATGTTTTATTCAGTACATCGATTGGTCAACAGCTGTGGTTTTTCGTCGTGGTCAAGTTACTGGATTATTGATAGGATATATTTTTTGTATCGAATTAGTGCGGCGTTCATAGACCGAAAAATCCAGCTAATTTAGTGCTGGGAATCTACAGTCATTCGTATTCACTAATTATACGGAGAGACCACTTAAAGTGTTCACAGTAAGGTCTCGTCGATATTCTCACTGGAGTCTGTACTGATTCGAATCTAATAACAGGTTTTTGAGTTTATTATTATGTGAGTATCAATAAACGAGTGGAACAAGTGTATAAGGGTGAAGACGATTAGATTATGGCCATCTCGCACTAAAGCAAGTGATTAATCACCACAAATTGCGATGGCTGACTTCGAGTTACGCATACCACCGGATGGGCTCCCCGACTTGCGAGAATCGCCGATGCAGGCAGAATTTGGAAGAACCGTAGGGATATTTGAAATATGATATGCCATAAGGTGATAAAAGTCCTAACCAAGAAATTTAACCCTATAGGTCACTTTCAACTTTCTAACTGTTGATCGCGGAACCCTGTTCTGAGGGCTCGATCTCCTAAATAGCGTAGCTTCCGTAACTACTCATTCACATTACCTGTCTAGTTTACCCACCATCTTTACTTTTATCACAATACTTCTTTCGGCTTTTATTCCTTTCATTCTCTTTATTCTTCCTTGTTCGATCAAAAGGGTAGCACCGAAAGGAAACTATCCACACAAGCCCATACATACGGGGTGGTTGATCAAACTGCGCAAAATTAAAAACTGTACTATTTATTTCTTCGTGAGACATCTAACTTCACGTTGTAACAGAATGAACCGAATAAATCGAAATACCTTTCTTGTCACATTCTCACCACTCGACCGAATGCGACAACAACTGCCAGATGGACCAAAACCGATTGCCGCGCAATTTGTCAACAGCTTGGCTACGCCGACGGGAATTTCACTCTTGGTCCTACCGCGCGAAATCGAACTGTCAGTGTGGAACTAATGACGCCTGGATGTCAGGAACACGAACCAACCACACAATCGACTGAACCGTTCCCCTGTCCCGGGTTTCAAACCAATGTGTCCGTGGGAAGTACCGCGTGTGGTACGTCTATATATGTACTGAGGAACGTTTTGAAGGGATTTAAAGAGCATACCATGGATTTTCTCGGTACTGAACAAATATAGATTATCTGGTAGAAAGTTAAGACAAATTTATCCCACAATAGACTACTGAAATGAGCTCAGCACTAATAGTTCGCCCGAAAATGAGACTTTTCTATCATTTATAATGTGTCGTATTCTTAGACCAGTATAAACTGCACGTTAATAATAGAAAACCGACAAATCCGGGCAAATCTTGAGCGAATCGCTATCTTATAGGCTTGAATAGCAAGGCCAAAAAGAACAGGTTCGCACAATGTACCCGAGATCATTTAGCTCCATCTGTGCATAGGCATACTGTTATCTAAGTAATGATTAATATGTGGTCAAAAGGATAAGCTGGCTCTCGACATGATTACGATCATGATCATGAAGTTCCTTGGGAGTTTGGTACAAGAGACGTCCCCAGCGTCACTGGGCGTTTTTTTTTATTTTGAGGGCGCATCTCTAGTCTTTGTACAACCAAGTGCAAACTGCAAGATAGCAGGAAGTAATCCCTCGCCTTGGAAGTAAGGGGGTCAATGACTTCAGTTTTAAAAGGTCAGTCACATCGATCTTTGTCACGACACCGTCATTGGGCTTGTGCGGCTTTTAAACAGGAGCCAGGTGACCAGCCTAAAACCCACCACACCCTGGTAGTGCCGCCACTGTTTGTTCGCGAGCGTTTATTTTTTGCGGTATGCCACAACTTATTCATAGCTAACCTTCTTCGGTGAAGATATCCCCTATCCACAACCCGGGAACGCGCCTGATAGCATTCAGCGCTGCTTAACCAGAGGGTATCCAGGACCAACGAAATCACTTCACGTCTAGCTGAAACAAATTACACTGTGAACGTGGCAAACGCATTATGTCCCCTAAATAGGCTTCACGGTTGAAAACCAACGCAGGTTTTCTGTCATTTGTATGCTACTGGGGAAGCGTTAGAACTTTGTTTCCATAATCCCCTCGAGTCCCCAGACCCTTTATGCTTACAATAAAGCTTCCTCATTCCCGTTCGCATTAATCCACCCACACATAAACACACATTCCAAACGATCTGGATGATCGAGTGAATGAACTAACAACTATGTGATATTTTCTCATACAATCCGACCATGAAAAGTTCGAAAGCCACGGGTTTGAATCAAGCCGAGACTCGCGATCTTTCCACAGTCAGATAATGTGAAAAAAATTCTCAGAATCCACTAAAAAAGAAACCTCAATTTGGTGGTAATTGTGAATCTTATATCCGATCTCAAGATTCAATTAGCCGACATTAGTGTAAATTTCTCTACACAACAAATCAAAAATAAGAATCACCGAAAATAAACTTGTTTACCACTCTGCTGTATTTTCAGTATTACATAATATTGGGACTATAGTCATTGAAAAGAAACGGAATGATTGGCTAATGAAAATGGCCTAAATAGTTACATTTCTATTTCTATTCAATTCGATTACATCACCTATTCATCTCAACACAAATCCACCCGGTGAGGAAGGAGCGATAAACTATGTTGTCTAGGTGATAATCGATAAAATAACCTAGCTGCACTCCTCGTTTTGCATTTCTCAGAAAACCGCATTTTAGTCTTTGGATGCAAATTATTCTGTCTGTCGAGAAAAATGAACAGGTGGTTTGGAACGTTATCTTGGCCTGCTGTCGGAACAATTTAAAAAATGAAAAATGTCGTTATTTTTCTGAGAGAAATAGAAAAACGACGCTTGATGTAATTTACATAATTTTTTTAAATGAGTGTTTCGAAATCAAGCATCGGGTTTCAGTAGCGGTAGAATTATTTGTGTGATAGCCCACCTTTCAGAACCAGAACAACTGTTTTGTACTTGTCGAACCTCTGCATCAAATGAGCCAATCGAGACATAACATTTGGCAAACAATTTCTAGACCACGTATTTGTCACCAGTTCAATCCTAAAGCATCAATTCTAAGCAGTGGGTATCACACTTTGTGCGAAATTGGAAGCCCAAGATGGTCACCCGTGGTCACCTGCAGTGAATAATTTTCCCTTAGTGCAATCAACCGTTACTAACCATTACAGGTTAAACGGGAAGCGGTTGCTACTCCAATCTGTCAACCGTCCGATTATGCAAATTTAACGCAAGTTTGTTTCTGACTGAAATCTACGATGAGCATAAATAGATTCGTGCCCTAAATTTCTCACCGTTTCCCAAAAAGAGCACGCATTATGAAACTGAATCGACTCGGTCAACTTCGCCGAGTAGTCCTTTGAGGTGGTGAATCGACCACCTAGCTACACTAAGCCAGGAACGTACTGGATACATTCGCACCCGTTCTTGCTTATCATTCGGGAATACTCAGTTCTCCACATATGCATATGGATGCAGTCAGTGCAATGTCAACTGACGACTCAGTACATTGCGCATACATATGCCAGTTGCCGGTATCCAACACAAAACAGTCTGTACGAGTTTCGAGCCTTGGCATT